TGCCTGGTTGGATCTGAGCCACAGGAAAGGTAGGTAGGGAAGTTTACTGAGATGCGTACACAGATGCTTTTCTCTGCCTGGTTGGATCTGAGCCACAGAGGAAAGGTAGGTTGGGAAGTTTACTGAGATGGGTACACAGATGCTTTTCTCCAGGTGTCGGGAACAAGAAAATATATATGTGTATATATATATATAGAGAGAGAGAGAGAGAGAGAGAGACAGACACAGACACAGACACAGACACAGACACAGACACAGACACAAACAAGAAGTTCACGTGAGCTTACAGGTGGAGAAGTGAGTGGTATTAGATCTGGTGGTAGGTGGAGCCTGATTGTTAAACTTAGGGCTATACAGAAGAGGTGGCTGTGGGTAGTCGAGCTTTAGGACGTTCATAGTTTTGTTCGAGCAGTTCTAGGCTGGGGGCTGGATGTTCCCTCTTCTGTCTTTTCTGCCTGTTATTGTTGGCTTTCCAGGTGGGAGCTGAATGCCATGACCACCAACAGCAATATCAGTCGCCCCATCGTCTCCTCCCATGGATAGGAGGACGTTTCTGCCATCTCCCCCCACTGAGCCTGCTGTTGTCTTCACTGCCCCTGCCCCTCTCACCCGCCTGCCCCTTTGGACCCAGGACTGGGTATACCTCCGCATGGAGCTGTTGGAGTAGAGGTGTTTTCTGTGCTGTGAACTCAGTGGGGAACTGTTGGGGGAGGGCTAGGTTCCCTCCCTCTTTGGGCCGAGGGCCCCTTCCCTTGGTGCTGTCCCATCCACCTCCTTCCAACTGCTCCTGGGCCTCTGCTCTGCCCTAAGCCAGCCAGGCTCTGCTGGGAAGTGAAGGGAATTGGGATAAGGGAGAAGCAAGCAGTGTCTGGGCCTCAGGAGCTTCCCCCAGCTCTATTTTCACCCCCTCTCCTTGCTTGAGCCATGAGCATTGTTTGGGAGCTGAGAGGAGTTGCAGCTGTTGCCATGAAACCCTTCTCCCTGAGCTGGGGAAGGCGAGGACCAGCAGATAATCCCACCCTTCCTTGAGCTGTTGCTGTAACCTTGACGCTCTCAGCCAGCTCAGATTTTATAAAAATGAATTAAAAACCAAACGTGTGATCTGTTTTTGTGGAATACGATGGGGATGGCAGGAGTTTGCAAAGGGGGTAGGGTCCTGAGGTTCTGAGTTCTCAGCCAAGAGCATTAGAATATCAAATACCACCGCAGCCTGGGCCTAGTTTCTTCTCGGCGCAGAGTCCAGGGCCATGCAACAAAAAGGTGCTGACGTTATCTCGAGTGCGCCTCGCTTTTCGGCCTAAGGCTCCCCGGCCACCAGCTGCTGCTCGTTTGTCACCGAGTGCTGCAAGCTCGGCCTCCCGAGGTGCCGGAAGAGGCGGGGCAGGAACCGCCAGAGCGGAAATAGCGCCATTCGCTCTTGTCGTGCGGTGAGATCCAATGCCGAGAGTGAGCTCCCGCGTTGGGACGGCCGTGGGGTCGCCCGGCAGGGTCCGGGACGGTGGGGTTCTGGGGCCTGGGGACCTACGAAAGGGTGAGGATGCGGCGCCGGGCCGAGGGGAAGTGCGCGGTGGCCACCGGGAGCGGGGAGGAAGTCCAGGTCCGGGGCTCCCGGTCTGGTGTGGTCTCCGATCCTGCAGCGCAGTTACTGAGAGCCTGCGAAGTTCTCTGAAAGGCCAATGCAGGGAGCACCCTCAATACAGTGGGAAGCGGGGCGTGAGAGGGAATGTTTCCTGGGTTAGGACGTCCTGAGCAGTTTCTTAAAGAAACGAGGGATTTCCGCAGGGATAAAACGCGTATATACGCAAAAGCACAGTCAGGGGACGGGTTAGCAGGTTAGGATTCAAGAAAGTTCTCAAACATTTATCGAACAGTTACTGTATGCAGGCACAGTTCTAGATGCTGGAGGTAACAGTAGTGAATAAAGCAGTCAAAAACTGCCCTTGTGGAATTTACCGTTTGGAAAAGGCAGTAAAAGAACAAGTAAGTTAATATATTAAGAGGCAATAAAGCACAAGATCGTATATTTTAAAAGGGTGAATTTTATGGCATATTAATTATATCTCGATTTTCCAAAAGGGTGATAGAGCTATAGAGAGAAATAAAACGAGAGGGGGTGCAATTTTAAGTAATCGGAGGCCTCACTGAGTAGATGACATTTGAGCATCAGTCGAATGTGGTAAAGGAGTAAATAAACATCCCGAGAACGTGCTCCAAGCAGAGGCAACATCAACTTGCAAAGAAACTGAGGTGCGAACTGCTAGGAGACCAGTTATGGAGACCAGTTGACTAGAGAGGAGTGGGAAGGAGGAGATGAGATTAGAGAGAAGATGGGTTAGGTCAAACGGGCTTTCAGGCCATTATGAGGCCTATAACTTTTATTCTGGGCGAGATAGAAGCCATTGCGGAGTTTTAGTTCTGGAGTGACATGATCTGAAGTATATTTGTGTGGAAATGAGTTGGGAGTGATGAGATCAGATTTGTATTTTAGATGTCTCAGGCTGAAGTGGGGAGCATAGCTCTGAGAGGAATGAGACTGGAGGTTGGGAGATAGTTAGGAGGCTAGAGCACTGATTGAGGTGAGGTGCTAAGGCTCTGAGAGGAATGAGACTGGAGGTTGGGAGATAGGAGGCTAGAGCACTGATCGAGGTGAGGTGCTAAAAGTATGAACCAGAACGTTGGCAGTGGTAACTAAGCAAGGGAGATAGGCCCTGTGGGAAAACCTGTAAAGGAATAATTTAAAGGAGGGTGAAAAAGAAGGGACTGTGGCTTGGTCCACCACTGGCCTTACATATACGTGTTCTTTAGCAAGGGGAGGCCTCAGGAAGCTAGAACAGTTGGGAAGTTAGGTGTCGGTTTAGCACCATTACAACCTGTGCTGCCTGGGATCTGTAGTGATTGCTTTAATGAGAATATTGGTAAGTATCAGTTATCCAAGGAATGAGGATGGGACGATGTCTTTCTAGCAATGGGAGATGCTAAGTTGTGTGTCTCCCACCCCCATCCCCTTCCACAGACACATCTAACATGTCATTTGAGGAGCTGTTGGAATTGCAGAGCCGAGTGGTGACTAAGACACACAAACAATTGGCAGCTGGAAACAGCACTAAGAAGCAAGGTTCTAGGCCACCTGTCCAAAATGCGTGTGTTGCAGATAAGCACAGGTGAGGAGCAAGGCCTGCCTCAGAATTTGTAAGACACCTGGGACCTTGAAGTAGGCGTCTTCTTTCTTAGATGGCAGGTGGGAGGCTGTTGACCAAGTCTGGAGCTCCCTTGACCTGTGCTTTAATTTCACCATAGGCCTCTGGAAATGTCAGCCAAGGTCCGGGTGCCATTTTTACGTCAAGTTGTCCCCATCAGTAAGAAGGTGAGGAAGAGGCAGGAAAGTGCTTTCTCAGTGACAGGAGACCGAACAGATATTTTATATTCTCTCTGTTTTCTCCAAAGGTAGCCCGGGACCCCCGCTTTGACGATTTGTCAGGGGAATATAATCCTGAGGTGTTTGACAAAACGTATCAATTCCTGAATGACATCCGAGCCAAAGAGAAAGAGGTGTGCTGCATGAGACTTGTTCATGGGAGTTCCAAATGGTGGGAAACTAGGGCATAGGTTAGAGAATATGGCAGAGGGAACAGGGAGCATAGTGGTGGGTAGATTAAATGCTCCCTATTTGATTTAACTCTCTCTAATTTGGTTCTTATATTCAGATCCTGGCTCATCAGTTTACCAGTTGTATGACTATTGGCAAGTTACTTAACCTCACTGTGCTCGTTTTCTAATCATAAAAGGATGATAATTCTATCTCAGTATTATTAACATTTGAACCTTAGAATAATGCTTGGCACAGAATTTCAGGTAACATTTACAGAATGCTAACCATCATATTAATTTTCCACTGTGGAGCTTGTGAAAAAGCAATTAAAGAAGCACCATTCAGGTGAGGAGTATGAGAAACTGCAGCAGCTGCTTCATCGAATGGTGAGTGGGTCAGAATTGTGTGTCATTGAGGAGAGCAGTTCAAGGAGGAAGTGATTCACAGTCCCTCCTACTCACTCACCTATCTCACCTTTGCTCCAGGAGCAGCAAGAGATGGCACAGCAGGAACGAAAGCAACAGCAGGAGCTGCGCCTGGCTCTGAAGCAGGAGCGACGGGCTCAGGCCCAGCAGGGCCATCGTCCATACTTCCTGAAGAAATGTGAGTGGGGCACAACTATCACAGGCTAGTTACAGGGACAGAGTCGGAGGCTATATTGGCAGGATACTGTGTTGGGGGTCCCTAAGTTCCCTAAGGGAGGCATGAATGCTGGATCCCATGGTAAGTTAGAGGAAAGTAGAAATATTTGTAATCATCCTTGTTTCTCCAATTAGATTATGGGCAGGGAGTGTCGATTTTATCTGTCTCCCTCTTTCCTATATGCTGGGCCAGGCACATAAAAAGAGCTCACAGTTGGTTGAACTAAGAAAGAGTAGAATCATAGAAGTCAGCTTGCTTATACACACTAATGAACTCTAAAGAAGTCACGTATCCCAGCATAGTGGTTGAGAATTATTGACCTAGGCAAAGAGGAGTGCTTTCTGCTTTGCTTACCAGCTTTCTTTCTCCCTATCCTCTAGCTGAGCAGCGCCAGTTGGCCCTAGCCGAGAAGTTCAAGGAGCTGAAACGCAGCAAGAAGTTAGACAGCTTCTTGAGTAGAAAAAGGCGCCGAAATGCAGGCAAGGACAGGAGACATCTCCCTTTGAACAAAGACTAATAAGAAACTGTCTTCACTTCTGCCACTGCCCCAGTGAGAAGTGGGTCTGTGGGGACAGACTTGGGCTTGGCCTGTTCTGGTTCTTTCTCATTCAAAGACAAGGATCACAGCTGCCCCTAAATTGGCTCAGAGATGACTAGAGGGCTCTTGGACTGCCCCAAGGCTACATAAGAACAGCTCAACCTTTTGCCATGCCACACTTCCTCTGCTTGGATCCAGTTCATCATGTCATCATGTCCTTCTCCTATCCTTGTCTAAACCAGTGATTCTGATATAGAAGAACAAGTGTCAGTGAGTGACCTTGAGGCTGGTGAAGGCCATGGAGTCTGTTCATGGCTCCCAGGACTGGGACTTTATATAGGAGCCAGTTTATAAACATTCCTGTCATTCTTCTTTTTATTCTGCCTTTTTTGTGGGGTTTGTGGGTGGCCTAGAACTGTTTTAGTGGGCCACATATGTCGGGTAGCAACAAATGTAAGCCTCCTACAAAGTGAGAAGTCAGATCAGAGACCCCTCCTATTTAAATCCAAAACATGACATAATTTAAAGAGTGAACCAATCCCACAAGTCAGCTACTTAGCTTTGGTTTTGGATGCAAGGGGAGTTAGGAGAGGAGGCCAAAAAGCTTCCCCAATAATATGTATGGACAGCTGGCTCTCAATACTTTTTGGGTCTACAATCCATTCTACCTATGTGTACTGCAAAATCCTCAAGCTGATGATACAGTTCAAAGTGTCCTCAGGTCGGTAGTACCTCCAGGCACCTGGCAGAAGCAAATGCAGTCCTCTCTTGAGGATTGTACTTTAAACCCAGATCTCAAGGAATTTCTTCAGATAAAATTTCAAGGAATATTAATTTACAGTGGAAACACAAGGCACACAAAGAACCACCATGAGCAACAATCAAACCAACAGAGACAGATGTTGAAAATAAAAAATACAAAATAAAACATTTTACAGAAAAACTATGACTAATATCAAGAAGTACCAGATCAATAAAAACTAAAACTTAAAAATAAAAAATACACCGTATGAAGTTAGAAACTTTATGGTTAAACAGCAGGTTACACATACCTATGAACAAACTGGAAGTAGATCTGAAGTTACACATATGAAGCACGCGGATACAGAGAAATTGTAACTAAGGTTAAAAAACAAGGGCGCTAGCGTGAGAAGGTGTGGCATAATCGGAGTTCCAGAAGTGACTATTTTAAAGAGGCCGAGAATCTTCTAGAACTGACTATAAACCCTAAGAAGCAGGAAGCCCAGGAAATCTCAAGCAGGATTGAAAAAAAATTGGATAAATCATAAATTACAGAACATTAGGAAGACTAACATCTAAAACACAGCTATAAAGAAGAGGAAGAAAGGCAGAATGAAAAGCGACATCTATTACTTGATGTTGCAGGGACAGGAAAATATGTTTGAACTATTAGGTTCATAGAAACATTAAGTAAAGGTTGGCAAGAAGCTCAAAAATGCATGTGTGGGGTCGGGGGAGATCTGAGAATTTAAAAGCACTCTAAATCCAACCTTGTTAATGTGAAGGTGTCACTGCTGCAACCAAAGGTACTCTCTCTCCACTTACCCTCCTGCTTTGCTCTGCACTGAGAAATTCCCAGCAGAGGTACCTGATTAGCTAAGCCTTGGTCACATGGCTGCAAGGGGATCCTGGGAAAGCAAGTATCTGGTCTTTTACATATAGGAGGTGGCTCTATCTTCAGTCTAGATTTATGGTGGGGCATTTCCAAGCAGGAGAAGGAGGTTCAGATGAAGGGTGATCAGTAAAATATCTATGTCCATGATAAGGCTGTATTGGTCCCCTAAGCCTTCAAACTGCTACTTTTCAACAAAGACCCGGAAGAGACATTGGAGAACCCTGAGCTTCAGATGTGGATTTGTTTGGGTGGATTTTTTTTTCTTTTGTTCTCCTTTTGTTTTTTTTATTGGTTAACAGCTTTATTGAGGTATAATTCACATACACCATACAATACCTGTTTAAAATGTACAGTTCAGTGATTAGTATATTAACGGAATTGTGCAACCGTCACCAGTCAATTTTGTAACATTTTCAACACTCCAAGAAGAAACGCCATACCCTCTAGCAATCACTTCCCATTTCTTCCCAGTCTCCCTAGTTCTAGGCAACCACTAAACCACTTTCTCTAGATTTGCCTCTTTGGGGACATTTCATATAAATGGAATCAATATGTGATCCTCTGTGTGCAAACCAGCTGTAGGGATATGAGGAATTGAGGCTATGGGGTTAGTCTCACAGAGGGGTCAGGGTAGCAAACTTCTGTACCCTGAAACATCCAGGAAGTGTTTGCCCTCTTAGGATGAAAAAGCCCTGAGGGCAGAGACTAGTGCTGATGAGAAGGGCAAAGTCAGAACTAATTACTGGATGGTTGGATTTGGGCAAATCAACCAGGCCAGAGTCAGGGTAGGGTTTGTGTGCTAAGGACAGTAGGCAACACGAGCTGGACTGTAGACAGGAACGTACAGGGTTTGGGGGGCCATGGCTGGTATGTTCTTCCCTTAAGAATTGCTGGAGACTCATCCATTGTAGATGAGCAGGTAGGTCCCCATGGGAGACTGAAGAAGATGAATAAGGGGTTGTATAAGTGCAGTGAAGATGTTAGTAGCATAGAGCTCAGCCCACGCAGGAGCTCATGGGGCAGCAGCAGCAGCACAGAGGTGGCAGTGGGAGAAAGACCCATCCTGTCCCTGATGATGCAGTGACAATGTTGGCCTGGCTACTAGAGCCCAGGGGGCCTCTCTGGTTTTCTAATGGGGAAGGATAGTCTCATAAAGAGCATGAGATTCCAGAGAAGAGCAAAAAGCTCTGGCTCCAGAGGGCTAGCTCAAGAATAAGGACACAGCTGGGCCAGTAAAAGAGTAGACCATGATCTTTGACACAGTGGTGCAGAGGCATTCGCGTGGCAAACTGCCCTGGGGTCCATCGTAGCCCTAGCCTGCTGCTGCTGCCGCCTGCGGGTCTTCTACATCATGGAATAGCACGGATCAACAGGATGGTTCTGCTGTGAGAACCACTGATGGCACCATGAGGCCACAATACTGAAAAGCAAGTATGGGCCTTCTGGGTCCACCCTCTCTTGGCTCTCTGGTTTGTTGCCTCTTCCTGGGCACCCTGACTGGTGTGACCAGTAGCAAAGTCTTCACTGTGTCAAATGCTCCTACACCTGGTACGTGTCAGAGTACCACAGTGACTGGTCAAATTCCACAACAAAGGAAAATGGAGCCCTGCTTGGTAATCTGGAACAGATTCAATTCCAAATGTCAGTCCTGGGTGGCACCTAGTTCTGTCTGGCCTCTGCCCTCTCACATCCTGACTTTTCCCTGCACCTTCTCCTGCCTCCTGTAATTATCTCCTAGTCACCTCTCAGCTGACTAGGACTCAGGATGCTTGGGTCACTCCTTCCCTCCTCCCCTAATGGCCTCTCCCAAGACAGAGTTCCACCTCTGGCACTGGGTCTCCTAACCTGACCCATCCTGCTTCAGTGTGGGTGAGGCCAGGGGTCCCGATCAGAGCAGTACAGGCCCACCTATGGGGCTAGTTGGGGTCTGGCTTTGGTCACAGTGTGCAGCACTGTACAGCCAGAGGGTAAATGAGTTCATGGCAGCTGCAGTTCCATCTAGGTCTGCTTACAACCCAGATCCTAAAGCATCTGGACAGGGCACACGTTCAGGCTCCTGGTGTCTTCATTTCCTTTATCTCACCTTCACTTTGTCAGTCTTACCTAGGGAAGGTGCCCTGCATTGCACTCACTGCTAGGTGTGGTGGCCAGTGGCAGAGTCTTCACTGTGTCAAACGCTCCCACACCTGGTACTTGTCAGAGTCCCACTGAGTGGTCCAATTCCACAACAAAAGAAAATGGAGTCCTGCTTGATAACCTGCCCAAGTTGCATGCCGTCCAGTACATGGCAATGTATGCTTGGGTTTCCAGTTTGCCAGGTGAAAGCATTTCTGATCCCACACCCTTTGAGAAGGGGGCAGAAATCCATCCCTGTACACTTAATCTTCTGCTGAGAGGAGATACTAAGACACACCTAACTCCCTAACTCCCTCCACGGGTTTCCCCAGGCTGCTATCCCCACCCTAGAAATGACTCTCCGCATGGCATTAGACAGACTTAGGGCCAGAGGGCTCTTCTCCCCTTTCGGCTAGGGAAGCCCCCTTGACCCTGTCAGGTCCCTAGCAGTCACCACACAGGCCATATACTTAAACTGCATTTTATTTCTGGAGAAATAAAATAGCCCTACCTAGCCCTGACCCCATCTCCAGAGCTACCGGAAGGTGGAGAAGCTCTGAGTGCTGGTGCAGGAGGCATAGGGCACACCGCGAGAGCGAATCTGCAGGGTGTGGAAGGTGAGGGGTGGGTTGGGGCCTGAGGAACTCGGGTTTAGGGACTCAGTGTGGGGCTCCATCACAGTCACAGGGACTGCATAGGACAGCATCTGGGGCCGGTCATCATGGCGTCTCACCGTGCCTTTGCCCAGGAGGTGCAGGATGCAGGAGAGGACATCGGTACTACTGCAGGCAGACCCCTTACCAAGGCTGCTGACCAAACCCCTGGGAGGACAAGGGCCCTTCTGCCAAGCTTCCAGCACCTGGCAAGGAGAGAGAAGAGGGAACAATAGGTCAGAGACACCCAGCTTACCCTACCTCTAGCTTGCAATCCAAGCACAAGCTGCCAGGACAGTAATCTCCAAGGACACCAGGTATACCCCAACCTTACTCCTTATAAACCTACAGGCTCTGTAGTGAACCAGAGGTTTTAAATGTTTACCTACCTCCTGTGGTCTGCCTCCCCACCCCAAAGTTCCCTCACCCATTGCCCATCCCCATCTACCAGACAGACAAGCTGGTCAATGTGTAGCCCCTCATCCCCGTGGGCCTTGAGGATTCGGACGATGAGGCAGTTCAGAAGGTTCCGTCTCTTCTCTAGGTTCCGGCCCTCTTCATCCTCAGCTTTCAGGTAGGTCTGAGGTGGGAGGAGCCACACGTTGCCCCTCCTTGGCCTAGGTTCCTCTCTATCATCTCTAATCTTGAGCACCCCTGAAATAAGCACTGGTCATTCAGTGGGGGGCCCACAGCAAGGCCTGCCCTGGCTCAAGCCCCTCTGCCCTAAGTACATACCTCCTGGGACATCCTTTTGCTCATGAAAGTCCAGCGGGCCTCTTGAAGAGGTAAGAGGCCCAATTGCCTGATTCAGCATGTCCAGAGAGAGCCCTGAGAGCGCCAGCAGACCCTCTACGGAGACCACCTTAGAAAGAGGAGGGAGTACTCAGGGCCTCCCCAAGCGGTGGAGTGAAGAGGGTGGAGGGAAGGACAGGGTTAGGGAAGAAAGGTGAGAGAGACAAGGTAGGAGACAGCAGGGAGGCACAGAGGACTCGGGCACCTTCAGGTCGTTGAGATACAGCAGCAGCCACATCTGCACGGTGGACACATGCAGGGTCTGGTCCCCAAACTGCAGCTCAGCCCTGCCTAGCCATGTCCACTGCAGTAGCTGATGTGGGCCCTGCTCCAGGGCAGGGTAGCTCTGACCTGAGAAGGATCAGGGAGAAGGCACACCATTGGTTGGGCTTTGTCCCCCCTATTCTCTGCAGAGCATGCAGCCCAGCATTCATGGACACTGTGGCTCCTGGCCTGAGTGTCTAGAGCTCAGCCTTCTCTGTGCTGCCTCCCAGATAAGCTGCAGGCATCTGGGGGCCCAGTGTATGCCTTGCCCTGCACCAAGAAAGCTCTGATCAGTGCCTTCGAAGAGTTCTCCATATTTTTAGGGAGAAAATGGAAGCACTGGGGCTCTTATCAACTGGAATATCCATGAGAGAGGTCAGTGTCTCCCCCATTAGTCAGATTCCTTGAGGGCAGGTCTGATACCCTTCCCCTTTCTTTGTCGCTGTCCAGCCCAGGATGAGCCCCCAGTGAAGAGCTTAGATTACAGCGACTGAGCAGGATCCAGACACCTACCACTAAAGGAGAACTCTTTTTGGTGGCCTCAGGTGCCTCCTTGCCTCCATCCTCCCTACCACCCACAAAGAGAGTCCTGGGTCTTATTTTAAGGACAGAAAAGGCAACAGTCTGATGAGCTGGTGCCTGATAGCTCCACGCCCACAACACAAACCTAAGCTCCTGCCCTTTCTTCTCAAATCCACCCCATCAAGGCTCCCAACCCCAGAGGCCAATCCAACCCCTTTCCCGGTATCCCAACCTATTCCCAGTCCCCTGTTCCTTCTCCCCAGCTCCTCACTCTTATTGTAGAAGTTGGAGTATCGGTTCAAAGTGCCTCTCAGGTAGTAGGGCAGGCAGGTTCTAGGGTTTAGCATGTGGCAGATGGAAGCAGTAGGCCAGCAGCGTGGTGACAAGACTAGCACAGATACTTCTGGCATTGCCCCTTCATAATACAGGTCCTCGTTCTCCTCCTCCTCTTCCTCTTCCATCACATCTGCTGCTGCTGCCGCCTCAGTTTCCTCACCTTCCTCTTCCTTCTCTCTCTCATGCTCCTTGCCATTGGCCTCATGGCCCACCTAAAGAAGGAAACAGGGTTCTCAAAAGGCAGTGGGCCTCCTCTGGTCTGCTCTATGCCTCTCTTCCGTCCTACGCTCCATTTGTATTAGCATTAGCAAATCCCTTCCCAGGCCCCCACCTGTATTTTCTTCTCTGTGTCCTCCAGCTTCAGGAGTTCCTGATCTAGCCGCTGGAGCTGGTAGACGTGGAACTGGCGCTGCAGCTCCTCAGAGGTGCTCAGGCTCCGCAGCATCTGCTGGGGGAGGCGGTTGGGGAAGCAGGGACCTATCTGCTCCAGCACGGCCCCCTCCAGCCAGCTCGAGCCCAGGCTCAGGAGACGGT